AAGTCGCAGACCGGGTCTCGCTCTCCCTGCTACTTGGGGCAAACTGGTGGGACGGAACGCTGACGTGCGAAGTCAGCACGTTCCACGTGTCCAGCGCTGACATCGTGATAGCCTCCACCGTAAGATCAAGTTACACGCGGCCTGTTGCCACGTCTGCTTCCATCGCTACTTCTCAAGCAGGCCTAGCCGAGAAGCTTTTGGCTATGGCGTCGAGCGACGATGCGCCCGCTGGTTCTCCTTCTGCCCCTCCCCTCGCTCTGTCGCCTGGCGATCACGTCTCAAAAGTTTGTTTTTCCCCATCTACCCCAGATGGTGTTCGCCGCGCCCCGGCCGCCGCCGCCTCCGCCGCCGCCGACGCGGACGATTCCTCAAAGCACTGGAATGCTGTGGCAGGGTGCTATGACGCGCTGTCGGCGTCAGCGTTCTTTGCGCAGACGGCGCTGGATCATTTGAGCGGGGATGTGGAGAAGATCGTTGCCACGTGTCGCCGATTACCCATGATGGTTGACGTGGCAGCTGGCACAGGCGGGTGCACAATCCAGGCCGCCACGCGATTCCCTCAGGCCAAGATCCTGGCGACGGACGTGTCAGACTCCATGCTTGGGGTATTGAGGAGGAAGATCGACGAAAACGGAGTCTCGAACGTAGATGTGAAGATCATGGACGGCCAGGATCTGCCGGAGATCGAGGATAATACCGTCGACGTGCTGACTTGTGTATTCGGCATCATGTACTTCGCTGATCGCTCGCGCGGTTGGCGGGCAATTCACCGCGTGCTGAAACCAGGCGGTCGAGCGGCGGTAGTGACGTGGAAGTCTCCAGGGCGGCACGTTCTCCTCGACGAAGCCCTGGCCAAGCTGGAGGGCGAAAAGAAGGAGATGGAGAGGGAGAAGGGGAGGCAGGAGGAACAGGAGGAGGAGGAGGAGGAGGAGGAGGAGGAGGAGGAGGTGGTAGAGAACGACGACAGGGGAGGAGGAGAATGCCCGGGCCCGGGGCAATCCGAAGGAGGAGGGAGGGTTGGGCAGCGAGGAGGAGGAGGAGGTTGCGACTCAGAAGAAGAAAAACGACTGGCCATCGAAGTTGCCGAGGGGAGAGGCAAAAAGCAATTAGTGTTGACGAAGCGGGAAAATACTGCGATCGGCACCCTCAGGAGCTTGAAGATGGCCCTGCCATCTCCGTCCGCCATAGCCAGCGACCTCGGATCTTCCGGCTGTCGATTTTCAGCTGTCGAGTACTTCCCTACCTCTCACGTCTGGGAGGGTATAGCCGAGGAAGAGGTTGGGAGGACGGTGGAGATCTGGGGGCGGACGGCCGACTTCGATCAGACCGTTCGCCGGAGAGACAGGCAATTAGTGTTGACGAAGCTGGAAGAAGTAATGAGAAGCAGAGTAAACCACAAGGGCAGGGTTGCTGTTCCTTGCCAGGCCATTATAACGATTCTAACCAAGTAGATTTTTTTTTTTTTTTTTTTTTTTTTTTTTTTTTGGGAAAGCCAAGTAGAAAATGACATCCCCTCGTTTCTTTTTTTTTTTTTTCTCTCTTTTTTTTCTCTGTTTGTTTGTTTGTTTGTTCCTTTTCAGCGGGAAAGGACACCGCTCACCTCGTTAGTTATCTTATTACAGGGCATATTATATTCACACTAGGGGCCGTTTTGTACTTATCCTCTGGACATGCTTCCGGTCAGATTCGTCCAACTCGGCCCTTAGTTATGGATAGATACATTTATGAAACAGCTACTGTGAGTGAGTATGCCCTTTAGTAAATGCGCCTGGCTCCACTACTCTCGAGACGTGCACAACGACAGTGAATCTTCGTCTAGAACATGCAAAGTTTTTTTTTTTTTTTTTTTTTTTTTTTTTTT